TTTGATTTGGATTTCCCTGATGCTGAGCGATGTTGAGCACTTTTTCATGTGTCTGTTGGCCATTTGAATGTCTTCTTTGCAGAAATGTCTGTTCATGTCTTCTGCCCATTTCTTGACTGGATTCTTTGTTTTTTTGGGTATTGAGTTTAAGTTCTTTGTCTGATGTCATTTGCAAATATCTTCTCCCATTCTGTCGGTTGTCTCTTGGTTTTATTGACTGTTTTCTTTGCTGTGCAGAAGCTTTTTATCTTGATGAAGTCCTGATAGTTCATTTTCGCCCTTGCTTCCCTTGCCTTTGGCGATGATTCTAGGAAGAAGTTGCTGCGGCTGAGGTCGAAGAGGTTGCTGCCTGTGTTCTCCTCAAGGATTTTGATGGATTCCTGTTTCACACTGAGGTATTTCATCCTTTTGAGCCCCCAGACCCTTGTTAATCAGGCAGGGGATTGGGCAGGTGCACAGCAGAAAGAGGTCGGGGACAACAAAGCATGCATTTGCATCTCAGCAGTCCCCACCTTGCTCTTTGTTTTCCCTGTGGGAATCTTTAACTGGATCCACCTAACCCTGATGCATTGTCCAGCTGCCCAACAGATTCTTGCTTTAGGCAGGAAAGGCCTCAAACCAACCGCAGAGCCCATGGAACCTGCAGGAGCACAGCTGAAGGCCGCCTGCCATGGCTCTGGGAGCCGACTTTGTCCTCATGCGGGCACTTTATCTTGTGTCCATTTGCAGCAATGAGAGGGACGGATGATTAAGTATCATGGGGAGGCGTGCTAAATTCACTGGAAGATGGGCTTGCTCACATTAAACCGTATTTATAACCTTTTGCAGTTGAGGACAACTGAACAGCCAAAGAAAATAGCCCAAGAGGGAAACCAAAGAGATTTAAGATGCCTTGATGGAAGGTTCTTGACAATGCTCCCAGACTGGTACAATCTCATTGAAAATGCAACCCTTTCCCCCTCTTTACCGGGAGAATCTATGGATAAAAGAGAAAACAGCCCAGGACTGGTCTTTTCTGCCTGATTAGTGGTGTTTACAAAACACACATTCCTTGTGTAGCCAGGGAATGTCTGGTGCGAGCTTGTGTGCAGATGGAACGTGGGCAACACACGGGCTCCATTCTCCACCATCCCCCACTCCTTTACGGGTCCACGGCTGGCCCAGAGCTGGGTCCTGAAAATCCCAGATGAAGGAATCAAGAAAGGGTGGATGTGTCCTTTCAAACGGATCAGACAAACCTGAAGAAAGCTCCTTGTTCAGACTCACCCGGCAATTTCACTCGAAACGGCACACGTCATGGGTACAGCTGGGGCGCTGATGAGAACAGGGGACTTGGAAGGATTCTACTGAACTCTCGTCACCCAGCTGGAAGTGAAGATAAAATCCCAGAGGCAGGGACAGGGAGAGAAGGGACAGGAGTGCTGGGGTGTGGACTGGGCTCTGGAGGGGAGGGAAAAGCTCCCGGGACAGGAAGAGAACGTCATTCAATTCAACATGTCTGTGCCCCACACTCAATGGCAGCTGTAACACAGATTCTCTACCCCACCCGCTGCCCCTTTCCCTCGGGGCCAGTAAGCCATCCGTTCCCCATGGCTCCCTTCCCCACTTGGGGCCCCGATGCGGCATCTCCTCCATGTCTCAGCGTCACCCCGAAAGCCCCCAGTCCCCAACTATCACCAACAGACGGCATTTCATATGGATCTGCGGGACACGCTGCAGTCCCAAGATTCGGATGTAAAAGGCATTTGTACACATCGTCCCATTTTCGGACCCTACCCGGGGAGCTCAGTGGTGAAACATGCAGCCTAACTGATCCCTTTAAGGACACACATTTTGGCGTGTTTGGTTTTCTGGAAGTAGGGCCAACTTGGCAAATTAAAAAACACAGTCTCCACTGTTTTAGAGTAAAAGATAAGGTGGCTTTGAGAGAGCCCAGCGGATATTGCTTAAATCTGATTACCACCTAACCATTAACAGTCCATCTGCCTCTCTAGGGGGGTCAGACACCTCTGCCATCCCTGTGACCGAGCTCTGATCAGTGGGGGGCTGCATGCACATTCAGGGGGTGCATGAGAAGCCCAAAGGAGCGGAGCTGACGTGTCCACGCCCAGCCAAGCGCACAGGCAGATGCTCGTGAGGATGGCGGCCTGCGCGGGGCCACATGAGCCACGGGCTGGACCAACCCCGGAGGATGCCTATGGGTTCCTCCAGATCCGCGGCCTCGACCTGAAACACACTGCCTTGATTATTAAATTCCATCATGAACGAGGTCACAAACGCAGAGGCATGCATTTGACATCGAATAGCAGGGCTGGTTATAAAGAGAAATCGGGGTGTGAGAAGGGTTGCAGGGGCAAAGGGAGTCCCCCCCAAACCCGCCAGAGAAGTGAGGCTGGTGGAGCCCCCAAGACAGCTTGGCCATTGCAGAATGCCAGGAATGTGCGCTCCCTTGGAAGCCGGGGGAGCCCGGGAGCCTGGGAGCCAGACGCCACCCTGCTGAGCCTGCCAGCGGCTGTTGCCACCTGCCGGTTGTGACTTCAGATGCAGGGAGAGAGAGGGGTGGAGGCGGGGGCCTCTCCCTTCCTTTTGAGAAGGAGACCAGGAGCTCCTGACGTGGCACGCGGGCCGGGCACTCACAGCTTGCCCGTGAACGCGAGCCATTCACAGAACACCCACATCAGACAAGGCCACTCACCTGGGCCAGGCTGGGGCAGGACAAAAGCAAGGCGACTCCGTGAGCAGGTGTGAACACGGACCAACCCTGAGCACAGCCCAAGCCACAGACTGCCCGGCCACCCCCCCGCCCCGTGCTGGCCGACACCGTTACCTGGGACGGTTGTGGCCTCACGTGCTCTCCTCCCAGATCAGACCTGTTAACACATCCCCATCACGGAATTACCCCGCTTCCTGGCAGCATCCACCCCAGGGAAAGCCCCTTAGACTCTCCCCAGAACCACCTGCCACAAGCCCAGTCCCTGCCGTGGGTTCTCTCCAACACCGTCTTGCTGAGATGCCCGCGTTGCCATCCCTGCCCCGAGACAGGTGCTAATGGAGCTGGCCAACCTCAGGGGAGTGCCTGCTGGTCTCCGGCCTGCCGCCAGTGGGGACACGGGGACCAGCTATCAGACCCAGCCCGGGACACCCGACGAGCACCGGATGGGAACCAGGGTGGCTGACTGGCCGGCCTGCTGTCTCCGCGTTACCAGGGTGGCTGTAACTCGCCGGGATGGTCCTCCACCTCACCAAGTTTCCGCGTGTCTCCTCTGTCCTCGCCCTCTGAGTGCCGAATTTCCACGTCACTAATTCAGCTGTGGGACCTCCTGCCTAGCCCTGTTGCAGTACCTGCATCCTATAGGACTCTGCCAGGTGCCAGGCGAGACCCACTCGGTGAGAGATGCCTCTAGGTCTCCAGCCATGTCCTCCACCTGGGGGAGGTTGGCAGCTCCGGGACCCAGAAGCCCAGGGGATGAAGGTGGAGCCTGACACCAGCTCTCCTGGAACATCGCGTGTCCTCCAGAGCCCCCTTCATGGCGGCTGCTGTTAGCGGACCGACACTGGGTGCCCGGCTGGGCGTTCCTGTCTTAGGCCTCCTGCCACTCACACCAGGGCAGACCCTCCCATGCCACCACCACGTTTCTGCTGGTCACTGTCCCCAACATCAGCGCCGACCCTGCTCTGTCACGGTCATTGACGGA